CTTAAATTAATTTAAAAATCAACTTCACACGATAATTTCAATAGCAACCACGTGCGTACAATTGACAAACTCACATAGGTTATGTTTACTACTTAAGAACAGCTGATGAGAGGGGTGTTATGTAAACAAACATGTGTACCAACTGTTGGTGATGAAATATTTCATTTGTTGAAAACTCAATATACATATATATAATATAATGATACTATATCTTGAAAACAAGAGCTAATATATAATTTTTATGGTCACTTTCGGTTTTAACACGTGGAAATACATTAAAATCATCTAATTTCAACCCCGAAACAAAAACTTTGTTGTGTTGTTGGGAGAATCTTTGTGTTATGAAGTGCCGGCATCCATGTTTCGCCGATGTTTGAGCTCTCTTCCTATGGCGTCTCTGACGATCTGGTTAGGTCCCTTCACTTCTGCATCTCACTATTGCCATTATCATTTGCGCTCAAAAATACTCTAGGGTATAACTGTGGCATCTCCGGACACCGAAGGCACAAGGTAGGTCACCGATTTGTTTCATATGGATGATCTTGAACTTAATGCCTCTGGAGAAAAGGATCTCTATCAGTCCTTGAGGGTGGTGGAAGAGTACACGCATGCTATCGGTATGAAATTCAAGATAGACAAATGTGCACTGGTCCATCTTATAAGAGGCTGATGCGGGGACTACGGAGAGGATGTGCAGCTCGTAGATGGAAGCATCCTACACCACTTGGATGCCGGAGAGACGTATACTTACCTCGGGTGGAACAACGCCACTCACAAGAGGTAACAGCAGTGAACAAATCCGTGGCAAGTATTAGCACAAACTCCGACAGATCTGATCATCGGAACTGTCGGGGAGAAAAAAGTTGCTGCAACAAATATACTTGCCGTTCCAATCTTACTCTACTCGTTTGGAGTAGTGAAGTGGACTCGGGAGGAACTGTATCAACTCGACGTGAAGACCAGAAAAATAATGCATCTCTATAGGAGTTTGTCCATTCCATGTTTGTCCGTTCCATGTTTGTACTTTCCCCGACAATAGGGAAGCCGTGGACTTTTGAGTTTGGAGTGTCTACATGACAGAAAGGTACTGGTTGGAGCCTGTAAAATCGTCGGGAGTACTGATTCCTTTCTCTGCATCAAGAGAGGACCAAGAGAGGACATGAATTGTAGCATTCCTTTTTAGGGCAGCTTCCCGAGTAGCTGGTGAACTTGATGATCACAACTCTGTCACCGAGTTGTAACCCATTCAGCAAAAGACCTATATAAAAGCCGCAGAGATCACTTAATTTCTGCAGCAGCACAAGGATAAGCCAATGAATTAATTGGGTTTTCTTCAACAACAAGGATCTTGGCTTATCAAAGCGTTTAACCTTCGCTTTTCTCAGGTCGAGTGGGCTGAAGTCGGAAATTGAGGAGTTCATCATGACCTGCCAGGATAATGTCTTTCTGTCTAACCCAGTCGTGTGATGGTTATAGAAGTTAAAAAGAGTATTTGTTTTATTCTAGAGTTCTGTTAAATATCGTTGCAACAAATATGAAGTTGAAGGTCAACTAAAAAATACAAATCCAAGTAAATTTTACAAATACACTTTAATTTGATAAAAATACTCCAAACTGATTTAAAGGGTACTTTACTCTTGAACGAACTTTATATTTTTTGGCCTATCCTGTATGGTGTTTGTCATAAAGCCATTTCAGGTACACTTGGTATAGTTTTGGAACATGCACCAACTTTTGTCAGGAATACAATTTTCTGAGAAATCGATAATAAAAAAGTTTCCCATTTGTTGCACCACATTGTATACTGGTATATCGAGCCATCAGATGATAGGTTCAAAAAATTCCTGAAATCTTTAATTGTGACTTTAAATACACATATTCCATAAATACTTCGAATGAATGATTTTTTGAATCAATAATTAGTTCTTTATACCTTATTATTTCTTCATCCCACTCAAAAATACCCTCTTAAATTCCAGATATAAAATAATTTTTTGTTGGAGAACACATCCGAGTATCTCAGCATGGAGATGACTCGCTTTGAATTCGAATACGTTTTCATGAAATTGTTGTACGATTACATTATGTTTTTCAATTTTCCAGATGTTGATACCGATCCAAACCGTGCTTCCGATTGTGACACCACTCAATGTGTTCTACCTGACTGCTTCTGTTCTGCTGACGGTACTAGAATACCAGGCAATTTGGAAGTCGCCAACGTCCCACAGATGATAACTCTTGGATTCAACGGAGCCATCAATGTAGACAACATAGACTTATACGAAGAAATCTTTTCCGGAACTCGCCTCAATCCCAACGGCTGCCAGATCCGTGCAACTTTCTTCGTTAATCACAAGTACACCAATTACTCCGCTGTGCAAGACTTACACCGACGAGGACACGAAATTGCCGTGTTTTCCTTGACCCATAAAGAAGATCCAGAGTACTGGTCCCAAGGTTCTTACGACGATTGGTTAGCTGAAATGGCGGGAGCTCGTTTAATCATCGAAAGATTCGCAAACATAACTGATGGATCGATTATAGGTGTGAGAGCGCCTTACTTGAGAGTTGGAGGCAACAAACAGTTCGAAATGATGACTGACCAGTTCTTCGTTTACGATGCCTCCATTACCGCTTCTCTAGGTCGTGTACCAATTTGGCCTTACACCTTATACTTCAGAATGCCCCACAAGTGTAACGGAAACGCCCACAATTGCCCCAGTAGAAGTCATCCAGTTTGGGAAATGGTGATGAATGAGTTGGATAGACGTGATGATCCCACCTTTGATGAATCCCTTCCTGGTTGTCACATGGTCGATTCTTGTTCCAATATCCAAACCGGGGACCAGTTTGCCCGGCTCTTGAGGCACAACTTCAACAGACACTTCAACAGCAACCGCGCACCCTTAGGCCTGAATTTCCATGCTTCCTGGTTGAAAAGCAAGAAAGAATTCAAAGACGAGCTCATAAAATTCATTGAAGAGATGTTGGCGCGTAACGATGTTTACTTCGTAACCAACTTGCAGGTCATCCAGTGGATGCAGAATCCTACCGAAATCAATGGTCTCCGCGATTTCCAAGAATGGAAAGAAACATGTGATATTAAAGGGCAACCCTACTGCTCTCTGCCCAATTCATGTCCTCTTACCACCAGAGAACTTCCAGGAGAAACCTTGAGGTTGTTCACCTGCATGGAATGTCCCAACAACTACCCTTGGATCTTGGATCCTACAGGAGACGGATTCTCAGTTAGAAAATGATTTTTCCAGCTTTTATCATAAAGACTCTTAGATTGTTTCATTTGAACATTCATTTAGAATTTTGGTAGGAGATGAATGAAATGATATTTCGAAACCAATGTGAATTGTTTTTTCATTTCATACCATCAAATATTTATTGTAATGAGATACTTTGAGGCCTGTGAGTTTATGGAATAGATATTTACCAGGGTCACTCAAATATGTATTTTTCTGTTAAAAACTGCATTAATTGCGAAATAAGTTCCGAAATAGGGCGGTTTGATGAGACATGTAAGATCTCTATTTTTTTTTTAGACAACATAGGTACTTTTCGGGTGAGATATGACTTTGAAAATTATCAGTCAACTTGCTTTTCTTTTCAATAAATGCGGTGAACAATCTATTTTCCGTTCTTTTTCATGGAAAGAGGAAGTAGCATTCACCTATGACACTTTTATCTACTTTGTATTTCATCAGAGAAACATCCTTGCTTTCAAAGTTGTTCACCTGAGCATTTAACTGACATTTATTCTACTTGCCAACTTTCTATTTCTCCATTTTATTTTCATAGAATGTTAAGCTATTTGTTGAATAAAATTATTATAAAAAAAATTATTTGTTTTAATTTCAAATTTTGATGAAGTTTGAAAAAAATTATAATACTCTTTTGATCCAATTACAGAATACATTTTCGTGATAATAGATTGGAATTGATTGTTATCAATTCAATTCGTTTATTATCTTTTTTTGGAGACAAATATGGAAGCAATAAATCAGAAAAGAGATTTTTTATTAATTCTTGAATCAAAATCTAATGACTGGACAATGAGAAGAAAAAAATTTTCTATAGTTAATGTTCAAAAACTTTTTCACCAACTTCCATATAATGGTACAAACGAGCTTCCATTGCCGACTTCACATGGTTGAGAATCTCGGGAGTTATTTCTCTGCAATGTCTCATAATATCCTCTCTCAAATCTTCTAATGTTGTTGATTCTATCTCATACACTCAAGACTTCAAATGAACTTATAGAAAGAAATCTATAGGAGTGAGATCCGGAGACCTTGGTGGCCATTCTGTAAGACCTCTTCTACCAATCCAGCGACCAGGAAAATTATTATCCAAAAATTGTCGCACTGCAGCTGCATAATGAGGAGGTGCACCATCTTGCTGAAATACTATTTAGTTGTCGAATAAATTTATATCCTCCTCAATTGCCCTATTGATGCACGGTATTATTCGATTCTCCAATAAATCCAAATATTTATCACTAGTCAAATTATCATCGATAAAAGAAGTCCTATGATGTGGTCACCTAAAATTCTTGCCCAAACATTCAGTTTTTAAGGTCGTTGGGTATGAACTTGACGGTATAATAAATGAGGATTTGTATCACTCCAATATCGACAGTTTTGCTGATTCACCTGTCCATTTCAACTAAACGTACGTTCATCCGAAAAACAAATTTTATACAAGAAATTCTGATGCAAGTTGATCCATTCAGTGAGAATTTCACAAAACTCGATACATCTATCGAAATCATCTTCGTTAAATTCATGAACTAGTCTAATCTTATATGGATGAAATTTGTACTTATGAAGGATCCTGAAAACATTTGTACAACTGATTCCTGATTCTCGAGATGTCTTAGTAAGAAATTCCAAAAACACTTTATTGTGAGATTTTCACTAAATTGTTTTATAAAAACGCAACACGTGTTTCGCCATACAATGGCTTCATCTGGCGTGTCTTTCAACTAATTCTACACATTCAATACTAAATATATATATAGTTTATGGAGTACCTGAAATCAAAGTACCTGTAAACGAAGTACTTGAATTTTAAGTAGCTGATATTTTACCTGAGTTTCTAACGAATTAAATTACCTGCACTTATGTTCCATTTTCACATTTGAAAAAATATATTCAGTAACGGAGAGNACATTTATCCTTTCCATTCATAACCAATTCTATTGTTTTGAGAGTTTCCTTAACCTTTTTCTGGTACATAGTTGTCGGATCCTTCCTCAGAATCTCGTAGCTTCCTGAATTAAGGAAATCTAGAGTTTTTCCTATGTAGTCCTTTTTATTTAATGCAATAACCGTTCGACCTTTATCTGCTCTTGTAAAAATCACTTCATTATCTTTAGTTAGTGGAATGGATTTATGGATTTTCATCAAGTATCGGCCGATTCCATCATATGACTTAGTAAGAGATTGCGAATGTTCCGTTAGTCCAACTTGCCCTGAAACTGCAGGACAAATAGCTTCATCGTTGACAACTCCTGAACGGTTATGCTTTTTATTGTTAACAGATCCAGTTTCTGCAGCCGTTTGATACTTTGAGTCAATCCCAATTGAGTAAAACCATGAAATATCGAAAACATATCGCTTTAGGATTTAATTTTTCATCTGAAATATTTTTACGAAGACAGTATTTCATTTTTCGATAGTCATCGAGGTTTAGGTTCGATGGATTGCTTTACTGAACTGATGAAATAGACTGCATAAACTCCCCATACGACACAATAAAAACACGCTCTCACGCTCTCGTCACTGCCACCATGCTACACAGTACTACACACTATAGATATAATAACACCAACTTCTTCTTAATATCACGTGTTATCTCGTGTTGACAGGAAACTATAACGCATCGTTCTCTCAGGACTACTTTGGTTTGATTACGAACGGTGGAAGTTCGGCCGACACAGACGCAATAAACGTTTTTTTTTCTTGAACACTTTTTTTTTCTGCGGCCCTCCAGCTTCTGATGTAAATTTAAGTAGCCCGTGAAGTCATGTAGCTTAGAATGCTCTGCTACATACTATAGGTATCATAACACCAACTTTTTCTCGATATCACGTGTTATCTTGTGTTGACAGGAAACTAACGCATAGGTCTCTCAGGACGACTTTAGTTTGATTACGAGCGGTGATTACGAGCGCTGTATAAATACAAATTATATTACTTTTCTATTTCGGCAAATGGTCTAGAGCAGGGGTCTCCAAACTACGGCTCGCGACAGCCAATGATTTACTGCCATCAATCTGGCCCGCGACAGCCAAAGATCTCCTAATTGTTGTTACTATTTTATTTACTTGCAAGGTAAAACTTAACGACAGAAATGATGACAAAGAAAACTTAACTCAAGTATCTAAGTTTAAGCATATTAATAACTAACAAATAATTGAAATGAATCACAGTAAAACAAAAACACTAATGAGATTTATGTGATTGTGATTTTCCACCGACAATACTTTGTAGTTGTGGATCAATTTCACTTGTACCAATTATCAAAAGAGATTTGAGATGCTCATCGGTTAATTGAGATCTGTAAACATTCTTTGTATACTTCATCTTGGAAAACGTTTTCTCACACAAGTAAGTAGTACCAAAAACAAAAAAAACCACGAGCAAATTTATGAAAATTATCAAATTGTTCCAGTGGAAGACTCTAATAAAATTACAACAAAGATGAATTTTGATATTTGTTCTTAAGCATATCACTGCACCGTAAATCAATAATTTCCGTTTGAACTTCCGGAACCAGGGTTTCAATGTCAGAATCAAAAGGATTTTAAAAAAGCTTAATTCCATTCGCAATGACATCAAAATCTGAAAAACGAGTATCAAAATTTATCTTCAAAGCACTCAAAGTTTCGATTGCCAAATTAACGGAAAATTCAGTCTCTGTAGTGTGGCTGAATATTTCACATGTTTCAAAATGTGTGAAACATTTTTTACGTAATTGCAATTGAAATAGTATTATTTTCTGCCTGGAGGATTTGATATTGGTGTATGAATTAGGGAGAAGCTGATTTTCTCCTTGCAATCTCAAATTCAACTGAGCAGTATCTGACACATCCGTTGACTCATCCAATGCTAGAGAAAACCACTCATGATGTCCATTTTTGTCAGACAGTTGAGATGATTATTTTTTGCGATGTCTTGCACCCTCTGAGCCACGGTGTTTGCTGACAAACTAACACTTTTAAATAAATTTACCTTTTCGAAACATATTTCTTCGGCTACTGCAATCAAGCATTCTTTTATCATTTCTCCATCGGTGAATGGTTTGCCACTTTGAAGATGTTTCGATTCATAGTGTCGTTTAATGTTATAGTCTTTGAGCACAGCTATGGTTTCATTACAAATTAAACATAGCGCCTTATTACTGGACTCAATCGCAAAATACTGAAATTTCTATTTTTCTTGGAACGTTCTGCATTCACTGTCGATTTTTCGCTTCTTTTCCATACTAACAAATCACACATGAAAACAATAAGTCAAATCAAAATACTTTCATTGACGGTTGTTACTTTATTTCACAATAGACAATTTCGCTTCCTTCGCCTTTCCTACGCAGACTAACTCGCAGTTGCGCCGCTAGCCTTTTTATATACAATTATTACTGTCATCTCGAGGTGATCGCAATACACTAACTAGAACCAGAACTTTCTCGAACCAACGCGGTAATTCCAAATATTCAATTATGCCTAATGCCACCTAGCGGGTAGCTGAAAAAGATAGTACATGGTACTACTACTCGCCACTAGATGTCGTTAAGTGTCACAATTCACAATAATAATTGAAATGCAAAAAAAGCGTAAGTTTGCTTAGGTCACTTACTTTGCGACTATCCTAGTCTAGAAATATAGTTAAAGGCAGAAATTGGCCCTTGGAACAAACTGAAAAAAATCATTATGGGCCGAAGGCTTCAAAGTTTGGAGACCCCTGGTCTGGAGCAGCTATGTATAGTCAATATAAACAAACTGTGGTTATTTATCGACCACCAGGAACAAATGTAGAGGACTGTATGCAGGCAGTTAGCTGATGTACTGGAACGAGTGTACTTGAAACATCTACTGTGGTGTTAGTTGGTGATATTAATATCAATTTGTTAAACTGTGACTCTGGCGACACTCAACGATTCACTGCCCTAGTTTCTTGTTTCGATACGATTCAAATTGTAGAAAATTCTGATATCATTTGCATTAGTAAGGAAGTAATGGTAAGAAATTCTAATTAATACACTTGATATGAATGGTTTAACCGATCATCTGATGGTATTTTGCGATCAAGATTTCGAAGACGAAGATACTTATGATAACTTAATTTTTTTTAGAAATTTCAAGAATTTCAATCATGACCTTTTTTTCTCAAGATGCTGCTAACTTACCATGGCATGATATTGTGACTATGCAAGATATTAATTCCAAAGTCAATTTTCTCAACGAGTGTATCATTATGCTTTTTGATAAACATGCTCCAATTTGCACTCTAAACAGAAAACATAAAGTATCCCCGTATATCTTGTAATATCAAATTGATAATGAAAACCCGTGATAGAGCTCATGCCAAATATCTTAAAGAAAAGACAGCAGCCGCTAGACAGTACTATGTAACTTTACGCAACTACGTCAATGACGCACTAAAACGTGAAAAAACAGCATAGGTATATACAATTTGTTTTGAACAAAAATAAAAACAATTTAAAAATGACATGGAGAAATCTTGCAGATTGGGGTGTTACAACAATCCTCGCAAACCAATAGCCTGCCAATTGAACCACGTAGACCTGAAGAAATTAATGACTATTTTTTAAACGT